AGTTCTCATATTTGCATTTGGGCAAAACATTTAAACGATGCAGAAACTTGATTGGCTCGTGCTTTAAAGTCATATTTCTTTCTTTGTTAGCCACAGTTGGCCTAATCAAGTAATTCCCTGTTTATCTTAGTAAACCCCTATAGAGTCATACATGCATAAATATAATAAAATAATTTGCTCTTGCACTCCATAGCCCAGCTGTAATTTATATGGATTGAATGAGTGCTGCATTGTGGAAAAGCAAGAGTGGACCAAATGCTCGTTTGTCACCTCTAATAAATGTTGCAATGTAAATTATGAAGTTATGCCTCAGATGTAAATGCACTTTATTCCCCTGCTTTAATGTAAACGGCGCACTCCAATACATTAGGACACTGGGGGGAGGGGCAGCGAGCAAATATTTGACGTTTTTCACAATCAATAATAAGCACAAAAGAGCCGAGATGGGCGACTGTTCTGCCATATCTGCTTCATAAATTATAGCGTGAAAGCAGCCGTGTACACCAAAAATGCAAATTCATTATTGTTATTAATAATGTAGTGACTAATAGTTCTATCAAGACTGTAATAGCAGTTTAATGGAATATGACAGCAAGAATGTATTACACTTCTTACACTTAGACGGGACCTCACATAGCATTTATCAGGGATTTCGCAAAGCATTTTTTTTATTATTTTGTTAAGTTAATTGCTTCTTTTCCCCCCTAACGTCTTCTGCGGGAGAGAGAGGGGGCAAAAACTGCTAATGGATATTAATTAATACGTGTCACTTTTGCGTGGTTTGATTAAAAATAATGAAAGCGGCATGCTAATGGGATTTGGCCGTTTCTCTGTGTGTGGCGCCACAAGATTGTGTCTTTATCGGAGGAATCTGAAGAAAAAGATAATGGGCCGCTCATGGGCTAAAATGAAAGTGACAGAAAGTGAGATAAATCTTCTTTAAGCTGCTCATGGTGGAATAGTGCAAGATGATTAAGGAAATCTCACAACCGTGATTCAGCGGCAATGAAGGCAAGTTTTATAAAGTTTTGCCTCACTGTTTTTGATTTGATATTTAGAAATTGGACTTAAACTAGAATACAGGTGAACATTGGGATATTGTGTGAAAGTTTATTTCTGTAATTCAATTGTGAAACCAATATGTGATATGTCTAAGATGTCTAATTACATGCTTCTGTATAAGTTGCATATTTTATTTCAAGAGGCCATCTAGTATCTATGCATTCGTGTGAAATAATACAATTCAACAAGTACCGTTAAGTTGTCCTTTAAAACATTTTTGCTGTATGTTTAATTTGTTTGAAAGGATCTTCATTTGAAGCAATCAATCAAATTGTATTACCATTATGCAGTGTTGAAACCAATAGAATTAATGACTTTTTGATTAGTTTCTGACACCAGCAAGATGTCTGTGTCGCGGGAGAAAAGTGATGTACTGCTTTGTTTACAGTACCTTTTTAAACATCGCTCGGTTTAATTCCATGCACAAGAAGGACGTATAATTCATACAATAAACAGACATTTGTACGTCATCTTCACAACTTTTGACGCAAATGTGTCTCTTTGTCTCACATTTGTGTCGGATTGGCAATGCTGAAGTAACGTTACAGTGAGGCAAAGTTTTGATGGTGCTCAGTAACATTATATAAGTGCTGTCAATACATTCTGCATGGTCCCTCTCATATTGGAATAAACTTGAGACTTTTAGTCAGTACTTGCATAGAAGATTTCTTAAAAATTACACTGAACAAATGAATGTGCCTTTTTTGACACCAGAAACTGTGAAAGAACTAAAGATCCTTACATGATCCTGACTTTAACATGAATAGTATGCACAATCTTGAAATGTATGTGGTACATGGCCTCTTGTTCAATACAGGGCCGCTGGCCTCTTCCTGCTTTATTAAACTTGAGATCTACTCGACTTGGCACAAATCAGCTCCGGATCATCCTATACTCAGCTCTTGCCAACACGTCTGATGTCTGAACACCATATTCAGCAAAAAAAATGCTTTTAAAAGCTATTGTTATAGGGCACAATTGTAGAGCACCAATGAAACAGAGATTGGCACTGTAAATTGGAAAACAAAAAAGCCAACAAAACTACTGGTGCAACTCACAATTACGTGGATGACACCTGGTCTGGCTCCCCTCCCTGCTCCTAAAGGCAAGACTGTCAACTTCTTGTTAATGCAGTGATTAAGAGGAAGATTGCATTTGTTTTGCTTTGCAGCTCTCCTGGCACCACTACTTTGCTTTCTCTTTGATTAAAATAGTAGATGGATGGATGCATCACAGCTCTGTCATGAACTTCAATTCAAAGTGCGAGAATGCAACGGAATAAATAAGGGAGACACATTTGGTTCTTTGTTTGTTTTGTTTTTTTCACATCAGAGGCTAAACTCTTGATTGTAAGATGGCCGACAAACTCATCTCGTCCCATTATATTCAGAATAAGTCATGGTTAGTGTTATTTATTGTCAATAAATACCATCTACTTCTCCTGTCCTGTGTTGTGCCGTGCACACAGCTCTCCTATGGTAACAGTTCTTTCGGCAGGACAAGAAAAGGTTGAGCTTCTTTCTTCAAATGACGCCTTCAGAGCGGTATTGTCATGTGGTTTTCTATGTCAAGGTCGAGAGAAAATGTCAGAACAGGTGCGTGTCTGCTGCCGGGCGCTGCCAACTCAGCCCCTTTTTAAAGAACACTCCTGCGTCACATTGCACTGTGCGCTTCAAATCTTTCAGACTGGTAAAAGACCGGACTAACTAACTTCCCTAACTAATGGGAAATAAATTTTTATTGATGACTGACATTGACATTTTGTCACACATTGTCTATTTCTATCACAATTTGGCATTTTATTGTCTGGTGTTTTGTTTGTGGGCGTGAACGATAGGTGTTGGTCAAAGGGGCCCATGGTGCAGATTGGCCGCCTCGCTTTACCAGTAGCTTTACCACTGTATAAAACTAATCTATATCACTTTAAAGTATTTTAGACATACTTCTCAAAGTTTGTGGATTCTAAAACTTTGCAGCATACTAGTTTGTGATAAATATTTGTTAGAGCTCAGTGCTCATAGGCTAAGCTGAAAACAGTCATGCTTGTTGTGAGTTGTTGTGAGAGCTTGGGGCTAAGTGCGGTCTGGACTTGTATGTTAAACTTTAATTGATGATTTGACCTGTCCACACCATGTTTAAACTACTTGTGGTTCAGGTTCAGAGCACTTGTTTTCCATGCTGTCAGGACCACACACTTAAATGCCTATCTGGAGCTTATACTGACAAGTTAAAGACTGAAAGAAAAGGGAATATATTTTTCTGTCACACCTGTGTCATCGATCCAGGGGTGATCCCTCGGCTCTTGGTCCAAACTGGACCAATTGAGCGAAGGTTTCCTTTGACATGTGCTGTGATATCAGAGAGCTGCTGTTCTAGATGTGTGGGTCTTTGTCTTGACATGTGTGTCTAAATCCTTGTGGCAGCAATCAGTGAGCACAGGCTGAAGGGGCGGCTGCCAGCCTCTCCTCTCGTCTCCTACAAGGCGCCGCCAGTAGATGGCGATGTTAATCTTCCCTGGCAGCGCTCCTGCTCTCTGTTCTACACTGTGGCTACAGCGCTCACTGAGACGAGGAGAGAGTGGTCTCAACCTGTGTGAAGGGTCATGCTACCAATTCCTGGCCCCCTTTTAGGACCATGAAATTGTTGATCCAAGACGCACAATTAGTGCATTCAGCCTTTTGAATGGAGAAGGCCTGACACCCAGTTATAATGTCAGTCGAATGTCACAGTGTTCCTCATTGTCATTTGAGCCTCCTGTAACGTTGAAGCCAAACAGGATCGATGGAGGAAGCCTCTCATCAGCACTGGACTCTCTGGTGGAGTTTTATTTATTTTTAAATATTTGGCTCACAAAGCCCGCTGCTAGGGTCTTTGAGGTGTGTTATACCTTAGCAAAGTCTTGCAGTTAGGGAGAGAGAAGCAGGAAGAGCAAAGAATGGAGCTGCCACTGTAAGTTGCTGATGACGGAGGCTTCCTTGACATCAACAACACAACTTCTGTGGTGCGTCGCTCGGACACAGCTCCACGCTGTTAGCTGCTGGTGCCGCTTTCATTTGGCCTCAATCAGCTAATCATACGTGAAAGGCCAGTGGCTCTGGTGATATAAAGGATGACACTGTGTCCAGTGCCACTTCAACTAAATCCTTTGTGTTCTCTGACCCCATCAGGTCTTTTTATTTTTTATTTTTTTCTCATTCGACTGTACTTTTTGACTTTGTAAAGGGTAGACTTGGTCCCCCCTAGATGCATACAATGAAATTATTATTGAAATTATGAGCACTATTATAGCTGTAAATGTAAGACACATGAATATTGTTGTGTAGTGTTGTTGGTTCTATTTGACCACATCTCTTTGGATAGTTGTTGGAATGCTTCAGAAGTGCACAGCTTGCACCTTTTTTACCAGTGTGTTTCCTCTGCACTCAGAATCGCACCAAGACTCACACAGTGTCATCAATGCTTGTAAAAGAAAAGCCTAGATTTGAATTACAGGAAGAAGGCACTGCATTAAAGAACAAAGGAGATCGATGGCAGTACATTAAATTTTATGCGAATGAAAAAAAAATCAACTAATTAAAATTGATTACTCATAGGTTTGTAAATGTGTTTCAGAATTGAATTATTATATGAAAACATTTTGACCAATCATGGCTCTGCGGAAGTATCCATTACTGGATTACAGTTGAGAGAGGCCTGGAATGTTTTGTGGTGGTTAAGTAGTTTGCTGCTGCGCTGTGATGTACCCCCCCTACACCACTGCCCCCGCCCCCCTGTATCCCACCCTGTAGTAAAGTGCCATGGGTTAATCAGAGCTGACCCTGGCCTCTCGCTACAGCCTTTGGGCCTTTTACCTGAATTAAAATGAATTTGTGGTGAATCCATGTTGGGCTGCAGTGGAGTGTGTAAGGTGTCAGTGACAGAGACACAGCTCTTTAGTCATGAGCTCTCAGGACTCCCCTGGGCCCCCGTGGGCCCGGCTGGAGGTGTCCTTATCTCAACAGTCATCTGTCTCGCTCGTTTAGCCTGGTGTGCCCCAGCCGCCACTGACAGTTACACATGAAGAAATGTCAAAGATAGGTTCAGCACAGATTCTTCAAAGGGCTTTAAACTGGCTCAGCACAAGCAGCTCTTCGATAAAAGGGCTGGTTTATCTTATACAGCTTTCCCTGGGGAGGACAGCACTTTTTGATTTGTCTGAATTCATTGACAAACATGAGAAATTCAGAATCATATCAATCATATATATAAAATAATTAATTTGGACTTCACATATTTGTTATCAGTCACATATGTTTCATTCATGAATTGGTCTGAGGCAGAAAGTTTTGTGAGGAAGATATGTTTTCTACTTAATCTCTAAGTGTTTATTCAGCAGCACTCTTCACTTCCACATGTGTTCTGACATCAATACGATACACAAGCTCTACAGAGTGGAAAGTTTGCTGTACAGTGATCTTAAAAAACCTTGATTTCCGTCCAACAGCCCTCCCCTGCACTGCACTTGCATAATGTGCTTTTGATGTGAGTGTGGTGGCCCTGCCCCGCTCTATCACTCTCACTGATACTGTACTGTTATTTTTAAACTTTTGCACAGCACATGTCAATGCCTTTTCCACAGCCCTTTTCATCTGGTGAAAAGTTGACTAAACGTTGGTTCACGTCATAATTGTGGGAAAGACAAAACTTATGTGGTCAAGAGCTGTTGTCTATGATGTAGATGATGTTCAACACTATCAGAGTAGAATGCCCTGGTCATGAGGAAGTTAGGTCAGTATTTATATTTGTTCCCCCTTGTTTGCTTGTGTGTGTGTGTGTCTCATTCGCAAAGTTTTGCATTTTGAGACGAGTCTAAATCTCATTTAAACTCGATTTGTTAAATGTGTTGTGACTGGTTGTAAGCGATGGGACGAGTATGCAACTTTTACTGCATTTGTATTTGCAAGTGTATTACAAATGAGAAATGTTAGAGAAAAAGTATGTGTGTTTGTTTTTTTGACTAATTCATTTGAGGGATTATTCTTTTTCAATAAGTTTATAATTCAAGACTTAAAAGCCCACTGACTTTCAAGAATTATTTCTTTTTATATATATATATATATATATATTTGGGGCGACAGTAGCTCAGTTGGTAGAGCATTGGCCTTTGGGCCTGAAGGTCGTGGGTTCGAGCCCACCATAAGACCTACTTCACGACTCCCACTGATGACGCTGTTGTTGTGTCCTTGGGCAAGACACTTAACCCCACTTTGCCTGAAGCTCCCACTGAAAGATCTCAGCTCCTGTGGACTCACCACCTGCAGGAGGATCAGTGAGGGGCTGGTGCTCTGTGACTGGGTGCAGCACTGACTGCCACCCCCCAACCCAGAAATGGATTAAGGGGAAGAAAATGGATGGATGGATGGATATATATATTTTTTTAAACGGGTGAGTGTGTAAGGCCTGGAATCGAGTAAAGTTTTAGCTTCAAAATACTGAAGCCCTTGGTGGCTTGTTACAAATATAAATGTTTTCTGTCTTTGTTCATTTAAAAGATAAACAGAAAGACAACAGAAACAAGCATTATTTATTAACTAAATGTTTAGTTTTCATAAATGAATGTTCCTGGATAATTTAAGCGATTAATTTGTATACCTATTGAAGTCCGGTTTATATTTTCTTTTCCAGACACCTTGGAGCTGGTGAGCAGGTGCTAAAATGACCTGCATCGGGCTCACATTCTGATGTCTTTCATGTTCAATAATTTCCTCCAGCCGCTCCCACGGGGCTGCACTTCCTCTCTAAAGGTCACACTAAGGCGGGAAAGATGTCACAATTAGAAGGGCATTTAACGCCAGTCGCGTGAAAAGATTAAAAAGCAATGTTATCCACATCGAACAGCCGGGCGACGAAGGGAAATACAATAATTTCATTAAAAGTTGATTCCTTTCTGGTTTCTGGTGTCGGTGTGTCATTAGGTTAAGTCATTTCAGAGCCCTGTATTTGATCTCCAATCGTCTGGAAGCAGCAAATTAATAAAGAGCTTCATTTTTCGGCATCTCGCTCTTTCTCTGTCTTTGGGTTCTTCAGGCGTGTGTTTGGGGGAAATCTGAGATCACACTAACACAATTTTTGTCCATGTCTATCAGTGTGTTATTATATCAGGGGCACTTCTGCTCAAATGTACAGGCCGGGGCCATTTAGAATGAATTGATTCACGCTGAGACTGAAACCTGCACTTGCTAATGACTTCCTTAGACCCTTTATTATACTCATGCCATTATCAGGTAGTTTTGTCACACACAAAAAAATGTTTGATACAAAACGTTAAAACCATGTTGCTTACCATAACCCAAAGAGCCTTTCCAGTTAATTAAAACTGGGTTAAAAAAAAATGTGTCCCACAAGAAAGAGTCTGGTAAAGTATAATGCTGTAAGTAGGGCTGTCAAACGATTAACATTTTTAATCGATTTAATTACAGCTTAAAAATTAATGAATCGTAATTAATCGCATTTCAAGCTATCGGCAAAATTATGCCATATTTTTCTGTAAATGGTTGTTTGAATGGAAGCATAGTGTACATATGTACTGGATTTGTTTATTATAACAATAAATCCATATAAAATGGCATTAACATTATTACTTTCTGTTTAGACTCAGACCAAAACTATTGTTTGTTACAGATGAGGGACATTTCAAAACAGTCTGAAATGCAGAATGTCATTAAATCTGTTTGATTTGCTCACACCATTACTTTTTTTGGCACAACCAACATGAACTGGTAGTGGAAGGTAAAATTAGGTACCCCAGCTTTAATTTAGCGAATGCGCTTTGGGAGAAGACACGGAAGAGTCTGAGGCTCCTTAGTCCAGCTTCAGCGCTGTACATATTGTGTGTCCCGGTTACGCAAAGACACGTACACTACAAGCAGAGAATAGTTCTGTGTGTATATGGTCTTGGCTATGACGTTCCACCGGCGCCATTCGCCGTGCTCACAGCCGCTGGAGGTGGGAACTGCTGTCCAGAACGCTGTCGCGCCCGCAGCTCAGCTCGCAGAGTTAATTTCATATACTGTAAAAATTAATGTAAGTAGTCACGCCTATCTCCGCCGTTCTAACTAATGGGCCAAAAATAGTGCTCTACTGGAGCTATCCAAAATGGCTGCGAGTGGTCCCGCCCTCAAGAAAATTGTGAAAAAACGCATCTGCGCTTGCGTCAGCTGACGCAAGCTCCATTCCTTTGAACGAGAGACTTAAAAAATTCACAGCGAGTGGACAACTAGAGTGGACCAAAAAAATTCACCCCCTCAGCATTGACACACATGTGGAACGGTACTTTGGGCCCAGAACCAACTTTTGGACCATCCTGTAAAGACGTTTTTGAGAGGTCTGCCTATGCTATATGTTAGCATTGGCTAATTCTTATTCCGGGTCCACCTTCATCGGCCCGGGGTGGTATTGCAAGCATGTCAGCGCACGTCATTTTGGCCACTTTTGAGCCGGGACCCGTCCCCACTGGTTCATACAGGGAACAACAAGTGCCCCGCAGTTATGTGTGTATTCTTTTAAAACGTGGATTCCCAGAGGGCCTACCTGCTCTGTCACCATCTCACACACGCATGTGTCTGCGGCATTCTGAGTGTTATTATGGGATGCATGGGCATGCGTCAATCGCGTTAATTCATTTTTTTCATTAATCGCGAATAATGAAAAAAATGAATTGACGCGATAATTTTGACAGCCCTAGTTGTAAGCATACAACAATTTGTATTTTTTTGAATAACGAGTGGTCCTCTCTTTCAGACTTATGTTTGAGAAAAAATCTGAACTACAGAGGCCAAATAATGCAAGCATGTCATCAAAATAGTGATACCTATTGCCTGTTTTTTTGTAATTTGCAAATGAAATGACTCGAATACATCTATTCACAACCTATGCATTATAGTAGTTTAGAAGCATAGGTCGTATGAACAGCTCATGTGCAATTAAACATGTCGGCACATTGTATGGATTTCCCCAAAGCCTTTTTACTAGGTCTCTTGTATCACGAGTGCTTCTACACAATAATGCACATATATCCATACATTTTCTGTCTCCAGTATATAATGGTTAAGAGCTATCACTAGTTAGAGAAAAATATACAACTGGTAACATAAATTCCCGCAGGCTTCCAAGCGTGTGGTTCGAACTTAATTGGATTTCAAGCTCATTTCTCACAATCCGAGGCATCACAATTGTAATTTTCAGACAAGTGCATCGCTAAGACTAGTCCAATTCAAACTCAATAACATAGCTGTAATCTTGTCCGTTCATCAACTTCAGCCACTTTAAGTGTGTTGGTTAATGTTATCTGTTCCTATGATTGAGTTTTCACCTCTTTTTGGCCTTTACCTCATACCTCATTGGTTATCCGGTTTGTAAAGATTATTTCTTTAACATGAAGCACTCTGGCACATTAGCAAGTCGAGCTTTACTACAAGATTTACCAAACAGTCTAATAGTTGTTATTAACCCAAACATCAAGTCATTTTAAACAACTTTTTTGTCAAATTTATGATGTTAATGGGGTTTGACCAAGGGGCATTAGGACCTTAAAAGCCTTGTCATGTGCTACTCATGTCATAACAAAGATTATCTGCAAGTCAATAATAAGACAGGACTCAAATCGGCACAATGTGGTTATAATTGATTGAGATGTCTGGCTGGAACTTGTGCAAAGCGTCTATGTCATCTGCTAAGAAGTGCACTTTTCCCCGAAGATCTCCCAATACAGTTTTAACCCAATGGACATTTAGCTCATTAGTTGTCCGCTGAGCTAGCTGTGGTCCTCCAAAGATGTAATACTTACCTCCTATTAACACAGACACGGATTTAGTCAATACTTTGCCATTGAAACTTTAAGAGAACGTAAACAAGGTTTGCCCATTCAGCATATTCTTCCTCTATTAGGTCACTTAGTGTGTTGGTAATTCTCTTATTTACTGGAATGAACATAGCACTATTAGATTCCATTGCGTTTTATTATGCTTTTTCACCACAAGTATTCCTATCGGTGCACTTAAGCCTGCAAGCTTTACCACGAGCCGGATGGTGTTGACTGGTTATCAAAAGGATATTTTCCCAGTGTTTTGACTGTATCTTTTGGCCCTGAACACGAGTTTAGTTTCCACCATGCAAATGCTTTAATCTGCTTGTCACAATGAAGGTTCTGGGTGAGTGACTTTAATAAGCCCTGAGCATATAGAGATCCGGGAAGTGCCATAGCCCTGCTGTAACCCTTATGTACATCAAGGTCACGCCTGTGTCACACTCAAACGCCACATTAGTGTTGGGATAAATAGAGGGCCGTCTCCGGGGGAAACCACTTCAACTTTGCTTCTCTTGCTCACTGTCTTTTTCAGAATAAAATGGACTTTTATAGTAGTAATTAGTGTTGTAACAATACTAAGATTACAAACTTGATTTCAATACTCTTATCATGGAGATAATCTGAAAAATGTCCTTTATTTGGACTATGAACTGCTAAAATGTAATGTGTAGGAAAATAATTGTGCAGCTTTACCTCAATGTCAATCACTGCTTAGCACCAATCATGCATCCTCTTGGTTGTTGGCTAGCGTACGGCCCTCCGCACATGCGCTATGGATTTCAGAGTCTGTTTATGTAACTGGTTAGCAGCTAACACAATGTTTATTTATAATATCGGAAGAAATTAGAGGGCTGTTGGGATGATGTGAAAGACAGAAGAGGACCGAAACATATAAAAGAAAATATCCCTGTGGAAAAAGGGGGGACTTCAAGCAAACTATCTCTAAATACCATTTTTATTGTTGTGGTTTCAAACTTTGGTGTAATTTTTTTTATGTCATTGTCATCCCCTTTATTCCAACCCCCCGATCAAGAAATGGATCGGGGGGTTGGCCATCAGAGCTGCCACCCAATGTTCAAAGCACTAGTCCCTCGCTGATCCAGCTACAGGGGGTGGATCCACAGTAAGATGGCTTCTCTGTCAGCCTTGGTCTTTCAGCATGTCCTTCAGGGTTAAGTGTATTGCCCAGGGACACGATGACAGCGAACATAAGTGGAAACAGGTGACATGGGTCGTGGTAGGCTCGAACCCACGACCATTGAGTCCAAAGACCAGTGCTCTAACAACTGAGCTAATTTTCATATTAACATGAAAATTATTTCATGTTAATTTTGTATTTGTTTTTTGTTTTTACAATCTGGTTTTAAAGCAAAGTAGATGCTTCTTTGCTCTTTCCCCTTCTGCATGCTTTCACATTTGCGGGCTTACTGACTGAAAGTTGCTTTCTGAAGTTTCCACATTTCCCATACATTATAGGTCTTTCTACACCACAATTACCCCAGACAAGTTTAAACTGCTATTGTTTTGGATTGAAACGGTTCATAGTATATGCAATGCATTACCCAAAGCGAATTACCACTGGCAGGGCATTCAATCACTTTGTATCTTTCAACACTAAGAGAAAAGAAGAGTAATCAAAACCTTTCAACCTATTACAGGGATGACTTTTACAATTGAATCACGGGGACCACAGGTGCGATAATAAGTCATCTATACCCCTCCTCCAGCACCTTTCCTCCATTCTCTGTATTCTTCCATATTTATCTATTTTAGGAGGCGCCACTTCACGGCGCCCCCTTGCAAATTTATGTTTTAATGCCATTTGAAGAACACTTTTTTTCCAACCTCTTCTGATTCTTGGAAATGCATACTGGGATGGAAAAATTAAGGTGCATCTCGAAGGAAAACATAATAGAATCGATGAACGCAGTGCACTTAAAACAACTGCTGTTCTGATGCTATTTAACGTTCTGGTGCATTAACGTTTCAAGTCATTACAACATCCCGGCTTGGCTGATTCGATCATGGCAGGTTTTTAACTGGAAGAATTACAGAACTTTTGAGCCTAGGATTCTCAAGTTATTAGATACAAATGATCACCTCTGCATTAAGTATAGATTTTCTCCCAGTATGCACTTAAGAATGGAAGTTTGTCTTTAAGAGGCTAATAGCGAATTAAGCTCCATCCTCCATTTGTCCAGCACTCCTGATGGGCTAATTTTATAACTGCTGATTTGGTCATTCCCTACATTTAGCTGGAAAGTGCTCAGGTGTGGTCTTCCCTATACTGCGAGCCGGGGCGTAAAGGGGCTTAGAAGCAACCATCAAATCCATTTATTTTTTCATAACGAACCATTTTCTTAAAGAAGGTCTAGACTATTGTTTGCTGGAGTTGAAAGCCCCACTTTGCTGCAAGCTTCTCCCTCCAACATTATCTCATTATGATGAATTAAATCACATTTCTTTCTGCGCAGATTACCACCGCTGTGAAATTTCTCCAGAACCCGAAAGTACGTCAGAGTCCCTTGGCAACGCGGAAAGCCTTCCTCAAGAAAAAAGGTGAGCGATTAGATTAGTTTTTGATATATTGTGGCTAATGTCAAAATCCATATGCTGATGTTGCGGTGTGAGATGTGGACCGGCAATGTACAATTTCTGTGTGTAAAAGGCCATAGGTCAGGACAGTCGCTCTTCCCCCGAGGGAAGGCAACAGGGTCGATCTGAGCTTGGGCAAGCATGATTCAGCCACTGTGAATAAATGACAAACCAGTCGGGATGCTCCTTTGGGTTCAGGCAAATTAATATTGACAAACTCTCTCTGCATTTTCAATGGAATTATCAATATTGCCTTCCAGCGTTTTAACCCTTTTACTTAATTTAACTGTTATCATAAATTTGAAGCATGACGCACAAAGGTTTTTCCAGGCTGCCAGAAATCGTTTGCTTGGCTTTTCAATTTCTTTGCAATTCATTGAGATTATTTCAGACACAATATTGTTTGCCCAATAAAACTTGCAAAACGGTTTTATTGGCGCTGAACTCATAAGTCTGTTCAATATGGCTTAAAGGGTAGGATTGCGCACAGATTTGCCATGTAATCTTTGACTCAGCCTATAGCTTTCACCTCACGTAAACTCAGTATTTTTATAGCAAAGTGTCCAGGACACTCTTGAAAAAGAGATTATTAATCTCAATGAGGTTCTCCTGGTTAAATAAAGGTTAAAGAAAAAAAAAAGAGGACTGTACGGCTGTTTCTACTGCTCTGGGAGTTTGCTGTAGCATTAGAGAAGCCAAAGAGTCAAAATTGAGCCTAAAAGCTGATGACTATTCGTCGTAACCTGACACCAAATCCATGGCTGCCGGCTGCTACTACACGCATCTCAAATGACTCCTTTTAAGTTGCTCTTTCTTTTCTTTATTGACAACAAAAGTCTTACGATTGGTCAAAATACACCCATCAATACTACATGATGTCAAGTTACACTATATTTTAGTTTTGACTTTGTTTAAAGACTCCCACTGTGCTCTGCCTCTGAAACGGAGTCCTACTGCACTTTGTGCCCATGAAATATGTATGACGCCTTAATGCAGATTTATTTTGGAAAGTCGGTTCCACTGTAGATCTAAACAAGAAGGCTCAATTTGCATAAAGGCATTGATCTCAGGAAGAGAGAGGCTAAAGATAAGAAACAATGTAGCAATGAAACACCAGGCACAGAGTACTTTTGAGTAGCACTCTGCAATACAACTTTTGACTTTGAATCATTTAAATAGAAAACACTCCATAGGAGACTGTCACAGCTGCACTGCTCAGCACAACCTACACGAGGAAACTGCCGTCAAGTCTTTGTGCATCATGTGTGAAGTGTATTTGTTTCGTTATGTCATTTTTTTATTGATAAGATGATACTTTTTTTTGTCTTAACACTTTACATATTTTTTCTCGTATGGAAAAAAATCATAACAAAATCAAATGCAGTTTGCAATTCCTTTTAGCAATTTCACTATTTTTTTTTTTTTACTATCAGCCTATATAGCCTCTTTCACCCTTTGACCCAGAAACTCAATAACACACACCCTCCCTCTGCTGCAGCAGCAAATATGTCTGTCTTAATTTCTAATACAGTTTAATGTTATATTTATGTAAATACTGCTGGATTTTACTCTGTATTAACAGCCAGAAATGTCAAGGCACACATAAAATAAAACAATACCATCTCTCGGTGGGGTGGAATTTAAATTGGATTCCTCTAGCTGCAGTGTTTATGCTGGACAGCTGATGAAGGGGAAAATAGGACCCACTTTGATTGCATGTTGCAGGATCTTTACACAATAATCTTGCCTGTGCATATTATTCCTCTACACATTTGTGCCCTAATCTGCACTGAAGGATGGCTCTCTGGTTTCTCTGCCTGTTTTCCAAAGAGATCTTAATAGCCTGGTTTATTTCAATATTCATTGAAAAATATAATTTTGTGTTTTCCTTCAACTGTCAATTTAAGAGTATAAATTGGCAATTATTCAGTCTAAGATTTCAGGCTGCCCTCCTGTGCCTGCTGAATAAACTGGAGCAAATGCTGAAACTTCAACACTTAGTCTAATATAAATCTTCATTCAATACTTTTTTCCCTGCACACCAGGCTATGGAAATGAAGTGCATTTAAGTTGTCAAGCAGGCATCTTGAGGCAATTTAGTTTTACTTGTCAGATTCAACATCAAGTAAATTTTATTGGGTTTGAGTGAAATATAATGTGCAGCACATTCAGTGAATTGTGCCATCTATGTCCTCAACAATTAGCAGATGTAACAGCGAAAGAGCACCATTTTGGCAGTTCCATTTAGCACAGACAATTAGCAGTTACTCACATAATTACCAAAAAATCCAATTCTCAGTGCTAAGTCAACCGCATTTGCTGTGCTTTGTGTCAATTTGACCCAGGCTCCAAAGTTGAGAGTGCTCCCTCCATCCACCTCACCAGAATGAGGACTGTATAAGGTTTTTTTTTTTATCATATTCTCTTATTAAACAATAATTAAAAGCCACATTAATGTTATGAAGTACTTACTTACTTATAATATATTAATATACTTAATATTGCAGTGCACCTTTTGAATATTACAATTGATGCTGTTAACGCTGATTTTTTTAGATTTTGTTTGGTTTTCCCCCATTTAGAATCTTCCACATTCACTCTATCATCTAAGGTAATCAATGTATTTTGTAACTTTTAACCTACATGTGTCATGATACTAACTTATATGAACTTATGGTTACAAAATGATTATTGTACTTGCTTTACAGAATAATAGATACATTTAAATGATGACTTGTTTGACATTCTGTATGTCTGAAAGTTAAATCGGCATGTCAAAGACGTGCAGTGCTTTGTCATAGACATAAATATCTATATGACTGATCCCTTTTTTATGCTGTCCAAGTTGAGTTGAATAAATAATGCTAATGCCTTTCACCCTGAGCAGAGGGCTAGCGGGCAAGGGTCATGTGAACACAGGTAGGCTGTAGGACCATTACCATAGCTGTTCTGAAGGTAAGGAAAGGCTTCATCATCCCACATTAATGGGATGCAGTTTGTAAGTGGGGTTATGCCACTCACCTCCCGGACAAAAATGACAATGACCAAGGCCTGTGGAGAAGGTAAAGAAATTGATGTGGTTATAAATTACTCTACGGCGCCACCTAGCCGAGGCCTTGCCTACTTTGTCATGAGTCCAAGCAGGCGATAAAGCAGGGAAATGAGACCAGAGTCTCCCTTTTTAATACATAAATGAATAGTGTATGAGAGTGGTCATTATTTAAGACCCACAGTTGTCCTGGACCAAAAGTGTGGACAATCTGTGTCATCAAAGCGAGTTGCACTTACTAGTTAATAACCCATTGACCCCCATTTATTTATGACCCCTCCTTACATTATTTTTCTAATTCTGATATTCAAAATGTAAGTCATTCTCAGTCAAGGGCACTTTGATAATTCAGGCCTTGGAGGACAAAGGCGTTCATCTTTTACCGCCTCAAATATTTTAGTAAGCAATTTTTATAATTGGCTGTCTGGCCTAGGTCTTGACCCATAAAGTCTAGAAGTGCCAGAAATAGAGAAATGGATTGAATGTGTGGGCCTTGCTGCATCCTGCCCTTTAAAAAAAGCTGTGAGAATATGAGGCGGTGAAAATAGAGCTGTAAATAACATGACGAGCAATGGGTTTTCCTTTAAATAAATACCGATCAGGTTTATGTTGAAAGACAATAGAAAACGTAGCCCAGATATGCAGTTTACAGTATTTATAGCTGTAATATCGAGGTGCCAGCACCGTAATTTCATGCCCCAATGAGAATGGCAAGGTCAAAGCAAATGCTTTGGCTGAGCATCTGCTAATACGGTGACTCATAAACAGGCCCTGTGTGTATCAGGTGCACCAAATAATACAGTATAATGAAATACAGAATAGCTTTCCATTGTGTGCTTTTTATGGTATCGTCATCAGGTATAATTTATGTTTTTTTTAAATCATCTCCCCCAGGTTGATGTGAAATGGGGGTCCAGGGTCATTCCACAGGTTTCAGATAATGTATTTTCAAATCCTTTTTTGTCTTTTTCCTTTTATATGTAAAACTCACTTTCACCTTGCTCCCTCTGTGTTTGGATCTAAGGGCGCTTTCATTTACTGTTGTCTTCTCTGAAACAATAAACAGATCAGAGACTACAACAACTTGGGGAGCTGTAATTTGACAAGAAACCGCTTTAGTGTTGTATTTCCATGTGTTTTACTTGTGCTACACAATAAAAAGCCCTTTCATTTGATGCATAAATAACATCAAAGACGCAACGTTCATTTCGATGTACATACATTAGCTCCGTACAGCCCCGAAAGTAGAGTTTGATAAAGCGAACAGATTTCAAGGTGAAAGTAGAAAACCTGAAGCATCTTTTTATTTCTTTGCATTGGGTAAATCTGAGATCCCTGTGTCTCACTCAATAGTCTGCCACCATGCAGTCTGCTGTGGTCAGATGGAGCCGGAGTCCAGGGACACATTATTGCTTATTTGACAGTGAGTCGGACTGCACAAACTCAGCACATGGCGCTCACCACTTCCTGGCACTCAGGACCTGCTCTCGACTCAGGGCTGGCCAATATTTGCCTTCAATTATTCAGCCATTTTCATGGCCATTTGAAGTCATTTGAGCTTGTAAATAGGTGAAGGAGGCACCTTGTGTTGGCCTGAGATTTGTGGCAAATTATCAAAGGCTTCCTTTGTGCTTGCAGCTATTAGGGAAAGGTAGCGCGCCATTCATTTGTTCATTCATCAAGATTGGATTATGTGGGAGTTTACTTTAATCACCATGATATTTGTTACGAACACTATAATAATGTGACACAATATGATTTAGCACAGGTTTTATATTAGACCCTTAATGTAAAGCAAGCAACAATAAAAATACAAAGAGTTAAATTAGTCCTCTATTTTCCTGTTTGTCTCTCAAAGGAAAGTAGAAGTACTTTAGTGAGTATTGGAAAATTCCCTCAATCGGTTTTTCACAAAGTTTTTTGTCAATAAGGTATAACCAAAGTAATATTATTCTTTTCCAGACTTGATAGAGCTACATTAAATCTTCTAATTTGTTGTGTAATAGTTTTCTTCAAATTATATCTGAAGTTTTAATTGTTCTTTCTTTGTTTAGATTGTGCTTCTTATTAAAAGATGAGACCCACAGCAATAGCAGCATATGGCGCCTGAAATAAAATCCTTTCTTGCCACAAACGGAGATGTTCATATTAGATTTTTTTCTCCTCCTCCCCTCTGACTCCCCATCAGGGAGCCCTTTGCAATTTAATCATCACTAAAATCATTAAAAAGATCTGAAGATTAAATTATATTGGCATTTGCAAAATTATGTAATACATTTACATTACAATGAAGAAATTAAAATAATGCATTTTAGCTGTCTGGGGTGTATGAAATCTCCACCTGGGAAATATAACTGCAGAAGTGGTCAGACTGTTATTTTCTGTGCCTTTGGTGGCCGTTAATAGGTTGGGAGAGTTTCAGATTTCATTGTACCAAGCTCTCCACACTATCTCCCTTTGATGGATGTCCCTGAAACAGTAGTCCTCTGTGGGATTTCTGAATTATAAAATGAAAATGTGTTTTTGAGAAGAGGGTAAAATTGAATGAAGATTAGACATAGTTCCACCAAGTTGTACTTAAAAGGTTTGCGAGGAACTTGGGAAGTATTTAAGCGTGTAATATAGCAGAGCAAAGAGCCATTCGGTCCATTCCATTAACACAGCCCCTCTGCTGCCTATAATATTCTCTTCTATGTTGCTTCTTCTTTTGGTTCAGGCTTGACGGATGTGGAGGTGGAGTTGGCTTTGCAGCACTCTGGCAGCACAGAGGAGGTCCTGCCACTGAGCCCTGTGGGCCCGTTATATCCTGTACCACCAGCCCACCTGGCCCTAGGACCACCCAGTGAGTGCTTATCTCACCTTTATCTTTTACCTGTACTTTTTCTTCACTCCTTTCCTTTGCAAATATATTTAGGAAGGAGACCATACATACTTCCACTATTGAGTACATACAAGAGTCAAAGAGTAGAGTTTACAAATCACTTGTGAAAACCGAATTATTTGATAGATTGAATAGTTTGGAGTAAGTGTCTTCTCCTTTTATGCTGGAATGTAACCATGTAAATGGGATACTACTGAGACAGAACCAACAGATGCAGTTTGGAGCACAAGGAAATGCTATATTTATTTATTAAAAGGCGTAGGCTACTCACTCTTTAGAAGGTTTAATAAACATAATGTCGTTATTGGGCATACATGAGATAACTGTCAATGTTACTCCTAAACTTCCATGCTCTACTTCTATATTCAGTCCTATATTGCGATTGCGGATGCATGGTTAAAGATTTTGTTTGATCTTAACTTGAGCATTGAGCAACTTGTTGCTCACTACTTCAAGTCCTGCCTGATTAGCCTCAAATCGCAGAGACGCCATTGCTCTAGGTTCTGCTCAAGTGTCCCTCGGCGTGTCTTGTCACTCAGGGCCTCCACCCTGGCAGGACCTTTCTGCTGCACCCATATCTTTATTACCTCAGGAGGTTATGAGTGCTGTCCACTGATTTACCAATGCAGAATGAAGTCCGGCGTAATGCTTAACCTATATGACAATGATTCCAGATGTATTCCACCCTCATTTATTACCACACCGTCCTTGACTCCCTCGGCATCTCATGTTTTGTAATGAAAGTGATGTTGATGGGATGGCCATGTAGTTAGGGGAGACTAGCGGCTCTCTGTCCATAGTGGGGGTTTTATATCAAAACGGCTATAAGGGAGCTGCATAATGAGGTGAGTGTGAGGAGTCTTGTATGGGGGGTCACGCCGAAAAGAGGGGGCTACCTCCCTTTGATGTCCTTGTTATGGGGACGGTGCACGGGGACCTGCATCCATCTCTGTCGAAGTAATGGATACTCTGATCTCTATTTTCATGTGCTAGAAGGACAGGAAGGCCTCCACTGAACCCAATAAATTTGAGAGGAGATTGGAAAAACGGGGGATGGAGACCACAGTTCCAGCGGCTTAAGTGACCAAATAAAAAAGGAAGATGGCAGAGTGGAAGTGGAAGAGGGGGAAAAACCGGCGATCGAGGCAGAATGAGAGGTCCTAAAGAGGGTAGAGGGCACACAGAGACCCCCCTGATGCAGTCAGCCTGTTTCAGGGTCAACCCTCTCCAAGGACTCGCAGGCCTTACAAAAGCATTCTGGGATAGGAGGCAGGCTATTGCAGCTGTAATGTTGATGAGAACCCAAATTTATGTGGTTACCATATGGATGTGGCAGAAAATGATTCAACATTTTCGATAGTAAAGGTTACAAGTTCACCTCCGGATGCCGAGGAGCCATGAAAAATGTGCTGTGGAATAATACAGCATTCACCTTGAAAGTAGAGCATAAAGTCCAGCCCGACAGTGCGTCCTGTTTGATTTGCATGTCAAATCATGCACATGGTAAGCTACAAATCAATCCAGTTTACTTACTTCAACATCCCATTAGGTGAAATCAGAGCTATAATAGAATGTCAATGATGTACTCTGGTGGACAAGCCACTGATAATTTCCCATTCATTAAGTCTGCTCTAGGTAAATAAAGGCAAAATGGCTATAATTTCTTCAAAGCTGCTTGTCGTTTAGCAACATTTCAGGTGAATGCCTCTCATGTGGGGAATTTCCGCCTTGACAGACAGTTGGCCTACCCATGACAGACAGAACAATGACACACTTTCATTTGATCTGTCACTCAGCAAAACCGTCTGTTTTAAAAATGCACATGCCAGGCACAGTTCACTTTCTGAATTTGAAAATGACTCATTCATTCTTCCAAATGTCAACCAAAACCGGTATATTTTGGAGTTTTAAAGAAGAAAATATACTTAAAATATTTCTAATTAAAGATGGATATAGCATTTGGGAATGGCACTATTTCACTAATGTGATTTTTCACACTTTATCCTGTACTTCTGCTTTAGTTTGAATTAAAGGTGCTCTTTAAACTTGTCTATCTCGATAAAATGGGTAAACCACCGTCAGACCAAATCACATTGTTGACAGGTTTTTATTTGATATGAGTAGTGTAGGTCCATATTAAACACATAATTGATGAATTCTTCAAATACTAGGTCCAAGAGGCTACAGATGGAGGGACTATGGTGCTCTCACAGTCATCATGGTGGGCATCGCCTTTGGCTTTCATCAGCTCTACAAAGTAAGTCATATTCCTCTGTCCTAACAATATGAGCTTTCATTTTTACTGTTATTTTTCCCTTAAATTTATCACACATAATACGCAACATCCTAAGATCTGTCACGTCTGACTTTTCCTGATAGTGCGTTTTAGATTGGTGGGCTATGCTAGTTTTTCTGATGAATGATGGTGCCTGTGCAGTGTGTAACATCACTCGGGCCTTGTTATTAAAGCAGCCTGCTTCACGTCAAAGCATGAGCTCATTTGAAGCTCTCCTTTTAAACTTCTTCTCCTCCCTCAGATCTGTTATACATTTTCCCCTTTTACAAAATATAGTTGCTAACACAGAACACATCCCCGTTTTTGACATGGGCCCATCTAAAAATAATCGCCCTGGTTTTTATCAGGCTTAGCAGCCCTTGAACAGGAGCTCATGGGCCCCTTGTCCCCGCTGACATTAATCCCATAGTGGTTGTTAGTAGTAGTCTGAGTGGCATGTGGAAGCCATTACTCTCCTCTTAGAGCAGGACTCGGGCTGGTGCACTGGCTGTTGGTGTGGATGACAAGCTGTTCACCTCTCTGTGTAAGTGAGTGTCTGTCATGTACATGCAGATGCCGATCTGACCCTGTGGCACATATTGGCTCCTCCTTAGATCCTGTTATGTCCCAATATTTCATTCTTCTTACACGGCCTTTCAGAAGACATGCACATTTAGGGCCCTTATCCTTGTCTCCCCTCGCTCTTTATTGACAAAACCACATTGAACCAGTCCTCCGGCTCTCCTCGGTATCCCACGAGGTGGATCCTCAGCAGGAGTGCACAGGTTGCTGTCATGTCACTGGAGCGTGGCGCCAGTCGCACCATATGTCCGAACTTCTGCCCATACTTTATTTACGTTCTGGAGCGCCTTGTAAACACCACACTCACAGCAGCACATTTATTAATTACCCCGTGTTGACACTCATTTAATCTTTTTCTCTAAAAAGTGTTTATTACTCATGCAAGTGTGGTCAGTTGGCATCTGGGTTGGAAAGAAATCCTGGTAATTAACTATGAGTCCGGGCGCAATATTTTGTATGTAATCAAAGCACCTTGTTGTAATAGTGCACTGTCAAACCTTTGTGTGTATGGTTTTTGATAAAGTGTCACATTAATTAATTGTAACGCCAGAAAGTTAGGTAATTCCTTAAAATTCTAAATCAGATACAGAATTTCATCTGTTTTATCAGGGGTAATTTCTTCAAATATTAAGAACAGTTTTTATTTTCCATTAACATGTACCGGTGTATATAACGGCAAATTATCCAAGCAGCCCACACTGACTTGGTGGATGGCATCTTGGACTGTGTATCACTGTCTCGTGTAGGTGGCCTCGTCTCTCCCTCCAGAGACTGAAACACTGTGGCTTGTTTTTAATTGCAGAAATACATCCTTCCCCTCATTATGGGCAGCCGAGAGGACAAGAAGCATCTGCAGCGGATGGAGAACAACATTGCTGCGATGAGTGGCACGCTGACACAGACAGGTGAAGATTAATATCTTCATCACTTTCTCCCTCCTTAACATTTTCCCTCATTTATCTGTCGCCAAAATCGGGGGGCCCCGCACGTTTTTAACAAATGACGCCGCTGTCATTTCGCTTTAATTTGAAATTGCTTGTTTACTGTCAGGCTCGGGCTCAATTAATTACGTTTCGCTGAAAAGCTCTTAACCTCCGAATATTAATGAGGAGTTGGGAAATGACAACTTTTCTTCCTCTCCCCTCATCCACTCTCACCCCCTCCCATCCGTCTCCCCCTCGACAGCCTCACCCCATCCAAACCTCTGTCATCATCTACAGCCTCCCCCCCATAGGTGGCAAGAAAGTTCATTTTAATTTGAGTGTGTACATGCATGTATAGGTCTGTGTGTGTTGGCATGCAGACACTGGGCCGAGTGTGATTAAGTGTACAGTGACAGGTGCGGCTCCCATGTTGGACAGGTGAGGAATCTCAACCTGGCTGTCAAACTGCAGGAGACAGAAGGATGCTTTCGTCCTCACTATAATTAAAAATCCAGGGAGGCGTAAATGAGAAAGGCATCTCACAAAGTTTGGTCTCGTTAGCAGCAGTGACGAGCTCAAGTGTGTTTTCACCTGAAAGACACTCTTCACTATTTGATCATTTGAACCCATTACAAAGCAGGTAACCTCTGCTCTCTGGTTTGCTTTCAATGCTCGAAAAGTGTTGTTCCACTGATAATGTTACAAAGAAAATGCCCAAATGATATAATATGACATAATTTTCTTTAATGTGACAAATGATGCGATACCTACTTTTTTCATCAATCATCTATTTATTTATGTTGTAAATAGATTTTGTAAATAATTAATTATGTTATTGACTACAAAATTGGATGTCAAAAATTGCTCTAATCGACCAAGACCAATTGACCAATTGAAAAAAAAAAAAAAAATTAGACCGACCAATCGGCTTATTGGTTTTGTTGTTTAGGAAAATGATTCATGACTTGTCATACTTAGTACTTCAGCATAAAGATCTTCTTGATGCCCTTTTAGTGTTTGCTAAATGCTGCTCATTCCTGCCCATGCTGTCCATTTTTACTGTAGAGGTGCCGTCTGCCAGAAACATTGTACGCACAATACAAACTGTGGATGGATTGGACAGAAAAAACGTTTATAAACTATTACTAACATTTATAAACTACTACTAAGTGCTACAGACAGAATCATCCTCTATAGTCATTTACTTTCATGTTTGTGTTCTGCCAATTGCGCCAGTTTTGAACAACTTATCCTATCCTATTATTCAAAGGACTTTGAGAAAGCAAACATACAGTACACACTTGGTTCTGTTCTTATTTGTGACACAAATTAATCCAAAATGAATGTAATGCAATTTAGTTACTTTCCAGTAAGTAACTAAGTAATGTATCCAATCACTTTTTTTTTAGAAGTAACCAGTAATTTTTTACTAATTTCATTTTCAAAACAACTTACGCAACACTGGTCATATGCTCCTCCACAATATTTATGTTAGATTTTTTTGCTTATGTCATGGGACTAGCTTGTTATCATTTTATCTGCAGGCACACCCTTTCCATTCTTTTCAGAACGCTGCCACGCAGGAGCAGTGCAGCATTGCGTGTGAGGTGTGCCACCCTCAATCTGTTTAACAAATATGTGCTCTTTTATGGTCATTTTACCAACTATGCAAACATGTTTCCTCACTGTGTCACACTGCCCTTTCTTGTTCCTGTTTTTTGGACAATTGCCAATGCACAACCCATGATTTGTTTGTTGGCAGTTTCCTTGCACTTTATACCTCTTGTAAAAAATACTGTTCTTTTCTTCAGCTAATGTTCCAAACTAATTTGCTATGACTGCTGTGGCCAAGCTGCTATTGTAGTTAATGACTGTTGTAGTTAACAGTTGGGGAGAGGGGTTGCAATTACACTGAGTTTCTCCCTCAGATTTCCCTTTGTCTTCCCCTCCCTCTCTCTCCTGTAACACCGCCCGTCTGCTTCACTGCTGCCAATTGCTTGAGCCCCCCTTTTGTTAAAGTTCATGTATTTCTCTAGTGCCAGGCCCAATGAGGTGATTGTGGGACTACATTAGACTCTCACCAGTCCAACGACTCGAGAGCTCGAGGCCTTGACTCCCATTATAATTTCTCTACAACTTCACACAGACAATTAATGAACAGATCTTGGAAGTACTTCAGCCTTTCCAAGACTAATAGAATTGCGTGGCTGTTTGGACACACTGAGCCATATTGGTGACCAGCTGGCTGCTAAAGACGACAGACTGGACATGAGAAGTAGGAGTGTGTATTGCCTTGTATCTGGCAATACAGTTCATATCACAGTAGGTCACCGTATGATACGATTGTGATAATAAAATTAATTAATTTAATTAAAATTTAATTAAAATGTAATTATTGGAAACAACTGGTACATTCCTGCATCAGTTGTTTCCAAAGTATTTTTTTTTTCTTATTTTAATTTATACAAGAATCACAGAATTACATATTGCAATATATCTTTTAACTCTCCTCATATTTGCTGTATAATTTAATTAATGCATAATTTGACGCAGCTTTAGACTTGTTCATGACACAGCTGGGCTAAAAGACACTACAAATGATATTTGGATTCATTTCTGAAATTAAGTTATGCATTTTTGTGTCTGTAGACTACAAAGGCATCAAGTTTGCAAAAGAACATGAAAAGAGTTGGAGGTGCTGCTCTTTTGCCTGAAGCTTTGCCACAGAGTTGTGCCAATGGTAATCCAGGAGGCACAGCCTTACGGCTGGCTGGGCTTCCTGACCCACACATCTGGTGAAGCCATTTTGTGGCAAAGCTGAATCGGAGACTAATGGGGCAGCTTTCGGTTTAGTAAGCGTACCCTATCATAGTAACACCTTTGTAAGCATGGATTGCCCGTGTATTTTAGTTTTATGGCTGTCTTCATAGTGGTTGGTCACACTTATGATCACAAACTTAAACTGTTGCCGGTAGGTTTTTCTCTTTTTGTCCTTTTTATTTAACTTCACCCAGTTAAATACAAGTGTCACTAATACACTCCTGATCAAAGTCAAGGAATAATACTTTACTTACAAACATTTTTTATCCTCAAACCAAACCAAAGTAGCTTCACCATTCTTTTTGATGCCTTTAAGAAAAAAGAAAAGGCATCTGTGTAAACTTCCCTTTCCATCCAATTCCATATGTTCTCGATTGGCTTTAGACCAGAAAGAAACAGGATTGTTCATTTATGCAGTTGTGGCATTGTTTCATTGGAGGAAAAAGCTCCCCAGTTCATGATTATTCACGATACGATATGCTCATGTGTCCTCCTTGTTAGCCAGTAAAGTTGGAAGCCAGGGGGATCATCAAGGTCATTTATTTTCTAGTCAGAAAATTGAACTTTCCTCCACCATTCTCTTCTGTCCCAACTTTCCCGTCCCACACCAAAGCTCAAACAGGCAAGTTTGTGGTGTTGAGGTAATGTTTTTTTCTCTCACAGATGATCTCTGATGTTTAATGGAATACACTCACCACCAAAGGCTGCTTTCATTTGGGTCGAGGTCTTGTGTCTTGATGGACTGCCAATCTGTCTGGTCTTTTGGCTCAGTATTATTTGTCTTCCCCTTGGCGTTTTGTCCCATAACCCTCTCGATCTTTAAAAAAAAAAATTGTCTTGCTGTGTCCCACTGTAGAAGTAATGGGTCATTGCTACAGGCCTTGCTTCCACAGTTCAACAAGCCTTTTTAGTACACTTTTGTTTCCCTAATAAATTGGTACATTTTGTTGAGTCATTTATTCTATCAAACTTGGAAACTAATTAACATAGAATACTGGAAAAAAAAGAAAATCTAGGATGTATTTATTTTATTTTTTTCCTGCTATAGTCTTTTAGATTAAAAATAAGAAGAATACTTTATGATTGGAGATTGGCCGGCTGCTGCTTGGGCTTTTAACCACTGCCCTGACAACCCCAGCAGTGGACCGCCACAATATCTGTTGATGTTAATCCTATTAGGCTTGATTTAACACTTTACACGCCCATGATTTATATGAATGTTTATTGGTTTTCTGTAATATAATCAGCTCGGGGAAACTTAATGCATTGTTTGGTAATACACGGGTGACTGGAAGCAGGGGGTAACAACAAACTGTGCCTGGTGTTATTTGAAATCATACACCCTCGCCCAACACCAACACTTGAACTAATTCAATCTTCAAAGTCAATGGAAAAAGAACAATATTTATTAGGATTAGGAGGGACATTTTGTCTGGCTGCCTCCTCCCAAATGAGCGCCTTGTTTTTTTCCTCTTTGTGGATCGTTTGAGGGTTTAAGATGCATTAGAAGCCAGTGTCTGGGCGGATAATGGAGGGTTAGACACTGTTATTTGATTTAAGTTCAGACACTTGAGATTAATATCACCATCCGAGGTTGTGCCCCCCATCCCACCATTTACACCAAGAGGACCAAAAGACACAGCTAAAGTTACCCAGTAGTAAATGATTACAACATGATTACAAATCTTAGACGGCTTTGATGAGAGCATTGTTTGTATCGTCACGTTGGTTGAAGTCTAGTGCTGGCTGACGATGAAAGCGTAATGAGAGTTCTGACCCTGTTATTGTGCTGATTCCACAGTGGCCCAGCTGCAGCAGACTCTCGCCAAGGTCCAAGAACTCCTCGTTCAACAGCAGCAGAAAATACAAGAGCTTTCCCAGGACCTCTCCACAGCACAGGTATCCAAGCAAATCACTCAAGTTGTTTTTATTTTTATTTTCTATATACAGTACATACTGTCATATTTCACAATGTGAAACTATTATTCTGGTAGTGTTTTCCATCTGAAGTCTCTATGAAAATCTTCTTGCTTTGCCTGAAATGTTCGACAAGAGGACGGAAAAATAGACCATTAAGAATGCCCTTTTGTTTTTCATATAAAATCAGAAAAAGTACAAGAATCTTGTAGAACTCTAGCTTTTGACTCTTACCACATTGAGTTCACTTTAATGTCATTGAATTGAGTATTATATAAAGCATAACCAAGGTTACAATAGCTGCTGTGTCACATTTACTGCACTTTGAGCAGGACACAAGATTTTAGCATCTGATTGATGTTTTTGGAAAAGCCAGACAGGCTGTAACTTTGACATTACAGAAGAGGTCTGTAAATGTAAAAGTTGCAGGGTTGAATCCTTAAGATTGATGAGCGCAGCTTTCTCGAGGTCTTTGTGCACTAAAACCCCAAGCGCCGCCCTGAATCATAACTAGCTGAGATGGACAGCCTTACGATAACTGTATATCATCTCTACACAAGCTGCTTAAAAGTATGGTGCATCTCATCATGGGACCATAATGTTTAACCATGTTGTCGTTCCCCTTCGCCTTGATTTTTATGGATCCCTGTTCACAATCTCTCTCGAATTGGAAGTGTTTAGGTGAATCAGACTGAATGATTGTTCTAAAAACTTATGTGTGAAGGATGAAATGTTGCTTGCTTTTTATCAGCCACTCGTAAAGTGCTTTATGATCTTCTCGCGCTGAAAAAGTGCCTTGGAAGAGGCGATCTTAGACAATGTTTTATGTCCACAGCTTGTAAGGCACATGGTTGTTCCACTGTGGCATCTGGATATCGCTGGAAAACATATGCGAACACATCTGTTTCGGCAAAGAAAAGTCGGAAGCGTTTCCCCGGACGAGCTTCATCAAAATCTGAAGACTCCCGGGTTTTTCTCAATATTTCAAATCATCTTTAACTGAGATGATTAGTGTTGGAAACAGCAGTAGTCCTTGTGAATATCAGCATGAAGATTACCTCAGGCTGAGCGCAGAGACGCATGCTCTTTAATACAGTTTGAAAACAAGAGGTTTACTGTCACTTTGGCAGAACAAGGGATTTCTGTCATGTTTCACTTAAGAAAAATGTAAGCCAATTGTAAGATAAGATAAGATAAACTTTATTGATTTCACAATGGAAAAATGTACATGTCACATTTGGCATAGATAGAATCACTCATGTTGTGCAAAAAGACAGGAAGTGTGCAAACATGTTAAAAAGGTAAAACATAGTCTCTTTTGTGCAAGATATATTATATAGAATAGAAAATTAAAAGTGACTATCGCAGTGAGTTTATTCAGTCCCAGTGCAGGTCATTAAAGTGACTTATTGAAGGTTCTGCGTTAGCGCTCCTTCTTGCACTGAGGGTGCCTCAGTCTTCTACTGAAGGAGCACCTCTACAGTCCTGTGCAGTGGGTGGGAAGTGTTGTCCATGATGGTTTAAAACATGGACCATAGACTAGATTCAAATCATGGGCCATAGATCTGCAGGATTGTTACACAATTCCGTCTATAAGTCTATAAAGGCCAATGTCATGATTTGAATAATACACTCAAATACTAATAGAATGAGTTCAGTTATGTACATTGAGTCTTTTCTGTCTGAACTCATTAGGACGAATTGAAAGACTTTGATCCACAGAGAGGTGTCCACGAAGCATCAAAAGAAAATGCCCAAACCACCTCAACTGTCTTCTGAAGGTGGAGGTGCAGCAGCTCTGAGCAGCTCTGAGCTCTTCATGTGACTGTGTTCCTCAGATTGCTATTTCAGATTCACTTTTCTCAATGTTATCATGAAAATGCCGGCTCATACCCCAAGGAGAGATGGCTGAGAGAGAGAGAGGACCCTGGCAGACTCTGGGCCTTAGCATTAGGCCTGCTCCATGTTGCATAGAGAGTTGTCACATCGACCAAGAGCCCCAAACTCGTCCATCCCAGCTCTCTATATACTGGCTGTGAGGTCACGTTCAGGTTCCACTGGATTGGTTAGGGGGTCAGCCAGGAGCAAGTCAATCCTCAGGTTTCAGTTATTGGTACATGCATTGATATTGACAGATGTCAATTATATGACAACCTATACGTAATAGTTTTCAACTTTAAAATATTTTCTATGATTTTCCTTTAGAACTATTATAAAATCATAAATTCTAAAGGTAGGGATGCACCAATACCAAAAAAGTAGTATCAGTGCATCCCTATCATAAAGATCAATCTTCTTTTTTTTTTTTTTTTTTTAAGATTAGTCAATATGGGGACATTTCTATGGTTGTGTTGATATATTTTTTTTTGCTTATTGCCCATCCCTAGAGCACAGCCACATACACATCTGGCTGTGGGGAAAAATATGTATTTCTCATCAAATCACCCGCTGAACAAATCATAAACCTCACTTTATACCTAGCAGCGCTGATCTTAAGTTGTGTTGTCCCGAGCCATGTGGGAAATTGGTAAATTGTTTTCAGGTCCTGAGTTTCTGATGAGAAACACATGTCAGAGTGGACCAGCTACGTCTTGCTCACCGTTTGTGGTTTGGGGGTTTGCCTCGCCGCGCCTCTCACTGTGAGCCACACGCAGCAATTAGACTTTTCAACACGGAAATGTGCCTTTAACCCAAAACACATGGAAGCTTCTGGTGCTCAGCTGCTATGTAACAGAGCTCAGTGTGAAGAAACCAGTCAGCTGTGCAGTGCGTTTTGGACCATTTAAGGGGAACGACATTATTGTTGTTAGATTCTTATTTAATTTGCTTTTTTATTAGTGTACTTTAAAACATGTGCAACATGTAATGTGTTGTGTGTTTTATGGTTCGGGCGAAAAAATATGCTTTTACCAATTTTTATCAAAAATCTATTTTGTCTGTTGGCCTACACAAACAACATGCAGCCAATGCAGCAACTCCACACTCAGGGGAAACAGTGGTGCTGCTCTTGTTCTTCACTGCATGAAGGTTCTGGGTTTGATTACAGGCCTTTCGATGTGAAGTTTGCATGTTCTCGCCGCGTCTTTTTAGGTTTCCCTTGGGTGCTTCAGTCTCCTAACACTAAAAACACCTACAATAGTTCATGGTGAATGAGTGTGTCTTTGTGAAAATGACTGTTGGATTATAAATGGAAATTAGCCAAAGGCTATAATTTGGAGATTATAGTTTTCAGATTATACTAACATGCACAACATGTAATCTGACCATTTTAGGGAATGCGTTTCAAAATGTATTTTAATGTTTGTATTCTGTAGCTAAATACATTTGCAAAGTATTTTCCCCATTAACTAGATTAGCCAGCTGTTTAGTTGATTACTTACAAACTTAATAGTAAAGTTTGTATGTCCTGCCTGAACATCATCTATAGTTTGTTGCTGCTCCGTGGAGATACAGGTGGGCGGCTCCCGTGGCTCTGCGTGGCCTAAACACTGGAGAACATAATACTGCACTTGGCATCAGCATTCGACACTTCTCATCACCCAGATCATGCCTGAACAAACAAATGAATCAGCCATCCAGAACCAAAAAGGAGCACCTGTCACACATACGACCCAGATCTAATGTCACTGCACTCCGGCTTGTGACATGGGCTCATAGAAAATACAACGAAAAAACATTTGCTGTAGCCGCCTCCATCGCCTTTTAAGTAATGTGTCTCGGGTGGGTGCCTGGGCGTGATGGGGGTCGGCATCTTTCTGCTGCTTAGCTCTCTGATCCAAGAAAGAGAAAAAAGATGTATACATTACAAGCATAGAAAGAAATTACTATTAACTGCAGCAGCACCCAAGGACGCATCTGGCTAAATGAAGATAAATGCCCGTGGACCATTAGCAACAAGATAAGATCTTTAACAAGGCTTGTTTAAGAGTGTCGGAAAGCAAATTAATTCTCAGTTACTCTGCCGGCAGACAGTGCGCTTTCGTGTAACACATGTATATTTATGATGGAATTAGTTTCAAAAGGCAAAGTCCCCAGAGGAGCGTTTTTGAGTGGAAACACAGCTACAGCGCAATTGATTCCATTCTATTTATGCTCTTTCCCACTGGCAGTTTGTCTGGCACTGGCAAAAGAGGCGGCTTCTAATCTTTGACGTCCTATCCACTAATAAAGAGGGCGATCAGTGAGTTAAGACAGGAGAGCAAACACCATTAACAGCCTGATCTGTAACTAGAATAGAGAAGTACTTTGTCTGCTAACATCAGGGACAAGAGATCTATGGACAGATGGACATACAGTATAGAGTTTTTTTTCTGTTAACTAAAATGCCCATGGAAAGGTTTGTGGGAATCCGGCGATCTTCCTTTTATGGCGGATATTGCCTTCATATAAGTTCTAAAACAGAAAGCACAATCATTTAGACTTTTTAAATCATTTTGATCATAGTTATCAGGACACATACAGACTAATATAGTCTGAAAATTGTCGTCTTATTCCAAAAATAATACACGTTATTGTAATTAATAAAAGTCAAATCACAACTTGCAAAAAGGGTCCAATTGTTAACAATATTGGCTGGGTATAGCACTCCAATCCAAACTTTTATTTGAGTACAGAATAATCCACGCTACTGCTAAGATTTCATTTTTATATTTGGTAAGTAAATGAAGTCATGTACCAGTCTGCTTTCACTTTTTAACCATTTTTCGCACCCTCTCATAAAATGTCTTCACGTTTGTTGTATCAAGACATAATGTAGAAAAGTTCTTTGGTATGAATACGGTTTCCGGACAGTGTATTCTATTGGATTCAAACGTTGACCAAACCAGCTAGATTTCATCAAAAAAACTGGAAAGCCTTTTGTCGGGCTAATTCTCATTTCTGGTTGGAAACTTTGAGAACCAAAATAGTACGCGTTACAGATCTATACATTTTCTTTATCCCAACAACATAGATCTAAATCTCGTAAACAAACCGCTTGTTATTTTACAAAGAGCCCTATAATTATAATAGTATTGTGGCCATCTCTTATATATATATACCTGTATATATTTGTTTTTATAACTGTGAATAAATCCACCGTTTTTAAAAGTGGGATCAGTAAAGGACTTGTATGATCAGTACATGTCGACCTTGTGCCTGCAGTCGCACATAACACTGCTGACGTATCGTGATCCCCATTGAACTCAAACACCCAAACTTGCCCCGTCGTACTGCGGGCTTTTTAACGCGGATGTCTGCACTTGTTTGAAGCCCTGATCAGACGGTCACCGATACCCTCTACTCTTCCCCTTTATTGAAAGCACCACTGCACTTAACACATGACTCTTACATAATGCTGCTCTATTGTATATACACACCATCCTAATGCGTTTCCGAGCTCAAATTCTGCTCTGGCCCAACATTTAATTAGGTTTCCTCCGCCTTAATAAGACATATGTCAGAGGTAGTGTTGTGTGACAGGCTTTTGATGTGAGATATTATGGGCTGTTGCTACATAGATAATGCACATAATGTCTCCAGTTCGAGGTTAACAATTCGGTTTTATCCATCTTGAGTGACACCAGCATATAGCAATTCAATTACAGAGGCAGAAATATCCTTTTATTTGGGTTTATTCCTTCCCCTTTTAGAAATCATTTAGACCAGCCCGTACAGCAATTAATTTTTTTCTCGCGTAAAATGGACGAGAAGCTGAATCGGGCCTTATTATGTGCGCCTTAGGGAGGTTGAGGGATTAAGACGGACTAATGAGGTGACGGCTGTAATAAGAGTGTCTTGAGCGCACCACCTCCACAACACCACTCCTTATCGAGCAGGTTTAGGAGGAGATAAGGGCTCCAAAACAGTCCTCTCTGCCTCCTCTCTTTTTCACGTGTGATTCAATTAATTTCACTTAGATTTAATTACAAGCCAAAGCATCCAAGTTCTGCTCCGGCCTCTATAGGGGGTCCGCGCTCTCTAACAAGCTTCCTCCGGCGAATAGCACCGGCTTAATTACACTTTTTAGTTCGCTTTTATCCCACTTTCCCCTGGTCTTCTCTCACTCCTCCCTCTGGTCTCGTCACTCTATCTCCCCTTTAAGCGCAGTGTGTGTACTTTATTTAATAGTAGCAGAAGACCCACCAAGGCAATTATAGTTACTTTTTATTGGTTTATATGGTTAGTATCCAATGAAGAACCTCTTACGCTATGCCCCCTCGCAGACTAACTTTTGATTTTATTTGGCCAGCTCAATCCTCATTCCCGAATGCGCCAATTTGTAACATTTTGCAGAGGATGCTCCGAGGCATTTATCTATTAATTATACGTCTTGGCCAATGACTGTTTTAATTGTTTGATGCAATCTATCAATGCAGTGTAAAATAGAAAATGATATAACTAGGACATGTTTGACAACCTTTTTTCTAGATTGCTGCACTCACCTGTTACCGTGGTAACAGGTGTTACCGTTACCTGTGTTTGTTTGTGGGATTTTGTCTAATTTTCTGCTCAACAATAAAGAATAGATAACTGTATAATATACGCTTAAAACTTAGGTTCAATCAACAAATTTGATATTAACTCCTTCCATCCATCCATTTTCTACCCTTTAATCCATTTCTGGGTCAGGGGGGTGGCAATCAGAGATGCCACCCAAGTCTCATAGCACCAGCCCCTCACTGACCCTCTGCAGGTGGTGAGTCCACAGGAGGACGGCTGCTTTCTGAGTGTGAGCATAGCCTTGATCTTGCAGCGGGGGCTTTGGGCAAAGTGGGGTTAAGTGTCTTGCCCAAGGACACAACGACAGCAGTCATCAATGGGAGTCGGTGGAGAAGGTGTAGAGGTGGGAATCAAACCCACGACCTTCAGGCCTGAAGGCCGATGCTCTACCAACTGAGCTACTGTCGCCCCAATTAACTCCTTACGTTATTTATTTATTTATACAACACATTTCACGGTCTAAGATCTTTACAATTTCCAAATATATCCATTAAAATAATCTTCGCAAATGCAACACATTCATGTCTGCAGTTCTATAAATTTCGGTTTGCCATATCTTGATTAAAAACTCTATGTTGCATCTGTTCAGGGCATTGATATAGTCTGTAAATCCTTTGTCCTCAAATTTGGCATTGATATAGTATGACAACCTGCGAAGGGAACAATAAAGTAACTTTGGACACAATCATCTTCTCCTCATTCTTATTAATTGTCTCTTGACTGATTTATCTTTCCGCTCCCCTGAGAATCTCAATAATCTGTCCCACAATCCTGTGCTGTGTCCTCAAGTCCTCTTTCACTTTTTAAAACGGCTCAAATGCCCAATGTTTTTGAAGTGCTCTAATGGACTTTGCCTGTGGTTATTTGCCAGAAGCATATTTTTGCTGTAATTTGCTATTCAAATCTTTGCACGGGAGGGTTTTATGCAGCTCTCTCATGATAAAGTAGTTTGAAGCAAAATATATTTAATGTAGCTCATTCTTTTTCACTGTCATATTGACAGGGACATATTGACAAAGGCCTAATGTGGGGACACTAAATTCTTTCTTTCTGGTACTGGTATATTTACTACGTTACATGGTTGGTCTATTATTGTTGCCTTGGTCATTTTGATGTTGTTATGGCAATCGCACAACTGACAAAAGGCGGCATTTAACATTTGCATTGGTCACATTTGTTTAATCTGTAACCTGGTCCTTATTTTGAAAACATGAAATGTGAACATGCATCCACCACTACATTGTACTTTGTGTATGAGGTTATATGGTCTTGCTTCATTGTACAACCAACACCTTTCTATAAGACTGAAATGACTGCCTTAAGTGATTTCAATGTTTGGTAGTTTTTACCCCGCCAAGGGGCAATGCGATTGTGTGTAGTGCCTGTGTGTGTATGTGTAGTGTATAGTTCCTGTGTGTGTAGGTGTAGTGTGTACTGCCTGTGTGTGTGTGTGTGTGTATGTGTAGTGGGCGGCACGGTGGCTGAGTGAATAGCACTCTCGCCTCTCAGCAAGAAGGTCCTGGGTTCGAATCCCGGTCGGACCAGGGCCTTTCTGAGTGGAGTTTGCATGTTCTCCCCGTGTCTGCGTAGGTTTCCACCGGGTACTCCGGTTTCCCCTACCGCTAAAAATATGTACAATAGGTCTGGCATGCGCCTCCTGTACTGGCGACCCCGCTCTATCTCTTTGTGGAGTCAGACAAGTGCCCAAAAATTTACAATTGTAAACCGCTTTGAGACTCAGATCTGCAGTGAAAAGGCGGTATATAAATGATTACTTACTTACTTACTTACTAGTGTGTAGTGCCTGTGTGTATGTGTAGTGTGGTGTGTATATGTGTATATGTGTGGATTATGCTAAAACTACTGGAAGGATTGAGCTGAATGTAATGAGCTGTGTCTTGTTCTGCTCTGCTCTTTGATATGTTTATAAATTGTGCTATACAAATAAACGTGCCTTGCCCTGCCATTATAGATGGGATATGTGGTCGTAGGACCCCAGGGCGATCTCTGGCCTATTGGGTTTGACTCAAAGTATATGTGGGTCCATCTGCATGGATGTGAGTCCTGTGTCTTACTGTCCTTTGTCCTTTTAGGCATCCTCAGCCAGCAGTCGTACCCTGGACGGTCAGACGGTGGGAGAACTGAAAGCTGAGATCGCCTCTTTGAAGGGCTTACTGCTCAGCAGGTAACAAAGTCATCCAGTCTCCTGGTGGATGAAACACCCTGATTTCACCGAGTTACTCTCCACTTTTAACTCCCCAGTACAGTTCATGAGACCTCATGGTTACACCTGTCATAATCGGTTTTAGTTACAGATGAATGCCGATTTAGATCATGTTGTATATGATCCACAAACATAATATATAGCTACTGAAAATGCCCTATCTGTACCTCACAAAAATCTAAATGTACTTCACAAAATGTGAATGTATTTAATCCATTTACTATACAAGTATTTCAGGGATATGTTTACTTCTAGAAGTACGTGTTCTCCTAAGCTCATATCAAACATTAGTGACCTTATCATATGCTGCAAGAGAAAGAACAATCTGATCTTTCATTATGAGTGTGACATGATGTCCTGTACGTGCCTCTTTCTCCTCTGACCTTACGTTGCGTTGTCATTCGCTCTGGCTGGTGGCACGAGTTAATGTCAGGTGTAAGCTTTTTGTCCCGCTGTTATTAAAAGTCTTCTTGTATTCACTGCTCTGTTCCCAATCTCCTCTTGGAGCCCCACACCGGCCCATTAGCATGCATGATTATGTATCAGTGTCTATAATGAATCCCAAGTAAAAGGTGTACATCAGAAATGTGCCGCCTCTGAAAATTGCGTCTAGTTGAGCATGTTTTGTTCCCGCTCGTACATCCTAATCAGTAATAATCCCTTTGTCATTTGCTTTCTTGACTTCATCCTGACTTCTCACAATGAGTTTTCTCGCAAAGGCTTAAATCTCAAAATAACGGCGTCGGTAACACCATCTGTCTCGCCACTCTGGGGTTTTTAGTTTTTTTTTAAATGATTCAAATCTGTGTTTTAAAGTACTAAGACAAGATCATCCTGTTGTGATTTAACATTGTCTTTTTGATCTTAAAAGCCATGGATATAATTAAAAAACACTCAGAGACGGAGCCTGCCAGGTGTGAAGAACATCTGGTTGTTTGGGCAGAAAAGACAATTTCTCTGCTGTAATTATGTGATTTAGTCTGAGCTTTTGATGTGAGGCTGTGCTCTGAACCGTATCTGACAATGTGTTCCCACTTAAACTTCAAATATACAAGTTTTAGAACAAAATCACCCGGCTTATACTTTGAAAGTGACTCAACTCTTTTGTGTCTTTCATACAAACACAACCTGTCTCTGTGTGCGCTGCGGAAACAGCCAAAAGAAATGAATCGGAGGTCTCATGTGGACATGGCAGTTGGCTCCAAGAAGCCTGTCTCTCATTGACTCCTGCGAAAACAGCTCAAAATACAGGGTCAATAATAATTTTACAGGTATAATTATTGTATCATGTTCTGCATCGGAAGACTGTGGAGGGTCCTGTTAATGGTATTATTTCCATTCATATTTGGAATGGTTCGATAGAAGTTTTGCTTTATATCATTTTTTTCAGACAGAAAAATAAAATGGAGACCACTCTTACTCAGGTTCAAGTGTCAAATAGTGAGTTTGCAAAAGATAATAAGATGAGGACAGGGTGTGGTCTGATTTGTTCACAATATTTTTCACTTGTACAAGGCTCTTTCTGGTGCTACCAACTACATTTGTTATTTATAGGGGAAATGTTAGGTCCGCCCAGCTACAACACGATGTCACGTTCAAGGTATAAGACCAACTTAAAATACTCTCATAAATTCAAACAAATGTCATTGTTCCATTTTCAGGAAGCAGTTCCCCTCCACTCCCACCGTCCCAAAAATCCCGGCCTGGCAGATCCCATTGAAGCCCCCGACTTCTCCCGCTACGATCCAGGGCAACAGCAGCAGCGACATCTCCCCCGTCAGCATGGAGTCGCCCACCTCCTCCCCATCCAAAGAAGCTCCCCCACACCCAGCTCCGGACACCGCGGCGGGGCTGAACGGAGACGCCTGCTCCACAGCTCTGCGCATGGAGGTGCAGGGGGAGGAGAAGACGGAGCCAGATCTGAACCACGTGGAGGAGGAGGAAGAGGAGGAGGAGGAAGAGCTGGGCCTGCAGACTGAGGACAGGAGAGGCGGGGACGGACAGATAAACGAACAGGTGGACAAACTACGGAGGCCTGAAGGAGCCAGTAATGAGAGCGAGGTGGATTAACGTCCTGTGTCACTGCAGACATGTACTGTGCTCACACTGGTGGCTTTGGCTCTTTTCTGTCAATTCAGTCGATTCTCATCATATTTTCCTGACTTTTCTACTAATATTTTAATCTTGCGCAAATCGAGGCGTCGGCTTGAGAAACTTGGCATAGCGGAGAGCAGGGTTGACGAGGGGCTTAGCTCCGTGTACTTTTCATCAAGTGAGATAAGTGATTACACATCAAACCAACTGCAAATATGCTGGGATTTCTGCAAATGAGAAGTGACTGGGAATAGTTCAATCTGCACTTTGTAAAAGTGTAGGATCATCTCTTTAGAGGATTTACAGAAAGGACCAGGACAACTTGAATTGTTTCCTATTCTTTAGCCTTCTCCTTTTTTTTTCTTCATTTTAACTTTTTGATTGTTCTTCACTTATATGGATCATACAACCTGCCAATCTGTCATTCTATTCTAGTCTCAGTTCAGTATGGGACAGGGATAGTATGTAATATTTTATTTAAATGTGTCCCCACTTTTAAAGTTAACATGCACAATTCATATTTTACCTTTTCTCAACAACTGTAGCGTTATTCTTAATTAAAAAGTTAATGAAAATGATGTCCATCGTTGTAACTCAGTTTCTCGTGATTGTAGTTCTTATCTTTTTGTGTATTACGTATTATCACTGTTATAAGTAGTTCTACATAAGGCACAGAGTTTAATCCAGCAGGTGGATTGCATCAGTAATCATTGCTTAGGAGCTACCGAGGAAGATTCTGGCAAACAAAAGTTAGATTGTAATGACTTTTATAGACCAAAAAGAGTGCATATTACACACAGTCCCTTTAAGTACCTACATGTTGACCTGCTGTGGATTTTTATCACATATTGATTATGCCTTCCCTCAAATTAATCTATAGTAACAAATAATTATCAAATAAAGTTACAATCCTATTATCTGTTCTCGAGACTTGTTTTCCAGAGAAATTAGAGGTGTTTGTCTCTTGTTGGGGATGGGTGAGGACATGCTCTTCAGGGCCTCAGCTTTTAGCCTCTTTTCTGTGTCCTTTCGCATTGGTGTCAGTCTGTCAATAATTCACAAGGCCAGCAGCGGGTGGCATTGGGCTGAAATAAAAGCTCTGAAATGTGAGATTACGACGTGATGACGGCCGTTGTTCCAGTCCTACTGATGTGCTCTTTCTCCAAGCAGGGGAAGATGAATGTTTGTTTTCCTCTTTCACTAAGGTTTTATACCTCCGAGGAAATAGTGTGGAAGACAAAACAACCCAGACAGAGCAAAAAACTGCGCCTGCGTCTCCAGCAGGGCAGCTGATTTGCTTTGTAAAGTTTGTTAATAATCAAATGATCAACAAATAACAGATGTATTAGTTCATGCGGCTTGAAATGTCAACGAGGCTAAAAGTGCAAATCTAATCGCGAAAGCCCAGTTGCATTGTATTATTTTCTGTGACAAAGCCTCGGGTTCAAATTATGTCGGCCCTCCCACGGAGCGCAATCTTTACTGAAAACGGCGCCAATATTTAGTAATTAAGCCACAGAACGAGCCGCGATGAGACTGGAAGCTGTTGAAGTTGTATCAGAAGTTTGTTTCTGGCACTGTGGTGGAGGCGCATTGGGGATGTGTAGAAAATGCCCCTGATTGAAAAAGAAAGTAATAAATGAATACTTTGACTTATTGAATTACTCACTCTGTCTCTAGCAAACAAGAAGAGTCCATGAGTGAGAGGGAAGGATACGGCGCCTCTGCCAACCCCACAGCTTCTCAGTGACACAATGAAAACGCAAGTATTGAAAATGTGGGAGGAATAAAGTCCACATAAGAAACTACTGTTGATGCGAAGGGTTGGATACAAGACACTGTTAAAGAATGTAATTAACTTGTGTTCTGCCGTGACTGATCCCTGTAACCCTCTGTCTATGACGCTAAGCTTGTACATAATTGTAATAAAGCAATATGATATTAATCAAGACGACTGCATTTTCTTTTCATCAACTAAAATTACTCATTTATGCCAAACCTTGTGCTGTGAAACATGAAGTTACAGACCAGTTCTACCAGTAAAGGACACGTCAAAATACTTCTATTGTGGTGGTTCTCTGTACAGTATGTCTTTTGATGAACCACATTTTTTGCACTTTCAGAACTCGTGACTGCCTCACCTCTTTCCATCATGCGGCTTCGCTGTGGGTTTCAGTTCAGGAGACGGCGTTCATGTTGTGAGGCAACTTTTTTAATCTGTTTGAGACCCCTTTGGAACTGCAGACATGGAAACAGCAGCTCTGTAGTGTTGGCCTTTTATATAGACTTTTAGATGTTTATTCAAAGTGTACCTATTTTTTCTTTGATGAATATAAAGGAGGGTACAGCTGGTGTCTGGGGGTCAGCTCTATCGACTGTAGAATAATGAAATGGTTTTGAACAACTCCTCTATATTATCACTTATACTCTGACATGTATTCAAAAAAGCAAAAAATGGTCCAGGCAGAACACATTTCTTAATTTTGTAACTATATTTGATTTGTGATTGAATTTTTGTTCAAACTGCTCCTGATTCACCTCAGAATGTTTGATTGAACTGGAAATAAAACGGACAATTGGCTGTCAAAGAATAAAAAATACAGTGAGTCCGTACGGGCTCAGGGGAGTGTTGCATTGAGTGAAAGCCCAACATACCATTGACTTGTTTATTCCTGCATGCACCTTCCACAACCTAAATCATGCATTGGCTCTATTTCTTATCTAAACGTTTGCTTTATTCTATAGCTTTGCCAATACTCCTCCCACATCCTCATCTCTGGAAAAGACGCTTTTGCCTCATACCGAGTCAGGCCATGCATTATCAGGCGTATGAATTTAATTTATCAAGCTCCAAATGATCAATAGCATTTCACATATTGATGAGGTATATAAACTTCTGTGGGATTCGATACCACATCCCTTTGTAATCCATTAACCTCTCCCTGGAGTTCAGGCCAACCTTAGATTTATAGGGCCCAGCTGTAATAAATCCACTTGTACATCATTTAGTGTCTTGAGGGAATTTTCTGCTCAGAAAGCGCCACATATGCCACCCTCATTTCCCTGTCGCCATTTTGGATTCTGAACTAAATGTTTGTCCGTCATGTCTCATCTGTACAAGTCTTAACGAAGCTGTGTTGTTGTGCGTTTTTGCTTTTGATATTTTGATTGTTCAACGCAACACCTTGGCTTTGACAGTGTGGGGCCGCCCCTGGTTTGAAGCCCATAAGCTCATCAATCTTGCTGCTAAACGGAGAGCACTCAATAGGATAGTGTATTGACGCCTCGTGAACTCTATTGTTGGCTGGAACTGAGCACTCAGCAGGTTAGAGGGCCCGGTGTCTCCCTGATCAATGCAGTCGTTGTTAGCCTTTAGCCGCCAGTCAAACATGGCTATGCTTCCTTTTTTACTCATTCCATTTCGACTTAACAGACCTTCAACCACTACATCAAAGGTTTGGCTAATTAAAGCTGGGATACCTGAGTTTCAGACAACAAAAAATAGAACAATCTAACCATCTCCTGTCTCTCAAAACTAGTTGTTCCATCACTAGTTGTCTCATGCATGTACTGTATGTTTGTTTTTCGAGAAAGAAATGTAAAGTCGGCCCATAACTCCAAATAGTGACTCACATGGCTCGCTCTTTCTATGCAAAAGATTAAAAAAATCCTAATAAGATAGCATTTTACTTTCATAAGACTTTTATTTATTGGGAAATATAAAATGTATTGATTATGGACAAAAAGGTACCTCAGCTTTAATGTATCTCACTCGCCTCACTCTGTAAATGAATAAGTAATCTCAGTTCTCTGATTTACGAACACACAACTGAATATTCTATTCTTTGACTCCGTTTCCATACTACTGTTTTTGAACCTTTTGAATACTGTTATTACATTCTTGTGTTTGTTTATCTCAGAGTCATCCCAACCGTGACTCCTCCTGTGCCAGTGCTGCTTACAGACAGGAAGCACCCTCCATACATTAGCAAATAGGAAAGGTCACGGCCAGACGCGGATCAGGATGTGTTCTTGTCTTCCTCCTCCCACTGGGATCCATCCCATCTTCTACCTGATGTGTGACACAGCTCAGAACAGACTGTCAACTCAAAGATTTAGTGGATCCTATTTGCTTTTAATCACCCGTTGCCTACAGTATATCATTTATTTTCCAAATGTGTAATTATTGTGAAGATGGTTAGAATCTAGATGTTGTGTATTGAATAATTAACGACAATAATCACAGGTTTATAACTACAACGGATTGGGAGCAGCCCGGACGAAAAAAGTTACAAAGCTCAAGGGTAGATGGAAAAGTCAAAAGTCAAGGTATGAGATTAAGATGAAGAGATCCTTTATTCATCCCACAGTGGGGGAAATTTCAGTGTTGCATCACAAGTTACAGAACAGTAGGAGTGAGGAGCACACGGCACAAGATAAGTGAACAATAGCTAGACTAATTAAAAATAAAATACTCTAACATCAAATAACACTTATTATTTTCAAGATAGATATTTTATAAGAATAAAAAAGTATAAAAATGACATATTCATAATTTAATTAGGTTTACAGCGAGAACTGGCGCCGCTCCATTTTTTCCATACTAATGTTTGCTGTAGGTGTACAAACAACATGTCTTTTGTCACTGTTAAAATAACACAAGTATTTCTCATTCATCTTTGTGCCTTGTCGTATCTCTGGACCTGTTCTGAAAAGGCGATCCCATAAAAGGTCACAAAATGCCTAAATCATCGAGCCACAACTTTTCCACCCACTCGTTTGGACTTTGTCACTTCCAACACTTGTTGTTCTTCTATTTCCCGTGAAGCTTTGGTGCACTTAAAGCAAAGAGAACTGTGTGTCAGGGCGATAGCTGCCAGTGTGAATAACCCAGTAATGACGCTCACTGGAGTGGGCCCACATTTGGAACACAAAATGGAGAAAAGATGCCCTTGTCCTGCCGGGGGTGGGGCAAA